AGTGAGAGAAAATGTTTGAGGAGTGAGAGAACGTGGCAGAGGAGTGAGAGAACATGGCAGAGGAGTGAGAGAACATGTCCGTGGAGTGAGAGAACGTGTCTGAGGAGTGAGAGAACGTGTCTGAGGAGTGAGAGAACGTGTCTGAGGAGTGAGAGAACCTGGCAGAGGAGTGAGAGAACGTGTCTGAGGAGTGAGAGAACGTGTCTGAGGAGTGAGAGAACGTGTCTGAGGAGTGAGAGAACGTGTCTGAGGAGTGACGCAATGTGTGAAATGAGTGAAGGTGTCGGAGGAGTGAGACTGAGATGTTGGAATAGTTGCATATTGTTTAAACGTTCTCCCTTATCGTCATGTTTGTTCTCGAATGAAATATTTGTTGCGTTTCCACAGAACTAATTGATCCTGGAGTTATTGATGCCTTTTCATATCTGATTTCCCGGGCTGAGCTCATTCTGGTTGTTCGATCTCTGTCAAACAGCTAAATACTCGATAGGATGTGGCCTGATCACCGAGCGTCATGGCCAATAAGTTGAAAAGGTGTTAATTAGTTTTTGTTTCAGGGCCCAGTGTTCGGGTCACGGTGTTTGACCTTCTAACTACTGCACAACCAAACAAATGAAAGCAAATCAATCCCTGTTTGCACTGTTTACCACACTGCTGAGCACAAAAAAACACTAAAAGTTTTACGTTTCTGTTGTTAAAGTGCGACTAACCATCAGAGCATTTTTTTCATTGCATTTAAATTCACTAAATAGTTTATTTACGGTTCTAGCTTCATGTTCAAATGCATATTTTGAGATTTTACTGTAAAATGTGTTTAAATTTGCAGTATTTTACCTTAAACCATCTGAGTCCAGCCCTCTGTAGGTTGAATGTTGGCTAATGCACCTGATTTTTCCTGTACTAAGGATGGAGCTTTTTCAGCGTCTACGTCACAAACCCAGGTTAAAATCTTACCTCGCTCCAGAATTTCAGGCGCTTCACGCGGACATAGTGACAAGCGGATCACTATTGCCATGCTTGATCAACGAGAAAGATACATGAACAAGATCGCTGCTGTCATGAGACAGAGATGGAAAAAAGAGTGAGTACATGAGGTAAAAGATGTCCGGTTTAGCTTGCAGATGAAAGCTATTTTAGCTAAGCTAATGTTGCTAGCTCGTCAATAAGTACTTCAGTAAATATATTTATTTTAGTATTACACAGAGGTGGGTAGAGTACTCAAAATCTGTAATAGGGTAATTGTTGAAACGTATATTGTTTAGAAGTTAGGAACGAGGCAGGAGCTAGTTATAAACTTGTAGTGTTTGTTGTCATAGCTACTTCCTTCCAAGATGGCTGCCGCTTACCAAGTTCACGGAAAGGCAGCCGGGGAATCGGTTAATCTCGGTTTTACTCCGTCATATTCCGCATGGTCTCACCATCCCGCATCATATCTGTGAACGCTATCATGCTTCACTCATGAAACACAGAGAGGTGACGGGATCCTCTCCCTCCTTATTCGGTCATTAGTATTCAGGACGCGCTGCCTTCCTTCCTGCTGTCCGCCGCTCGCTCCCCTGACGGAGAATCAGCCGGCGTTGATTAATTTCAGCCTATTAGCACCCCTCGTCCGCCTCCCCCGGCTCCGCCCAGGTTAAGTCCCCGCGCACAGCCACGCGCATGCGCGCAGGCGGGGGTTGCTGCTGGGTGAGCGATGGCGGACAGGTTGCCAGGGAAGCGGTTGTTGTCAGAGCGATATTAATGAGCGGGTTGCTCCGGTGCCGGTTGTTCGTGCCAGCATGTTTAAGTGTTTGGGTGTTGGCGTGCCAAAAGAAAGAAGGAACGGCTTGTTTTTCTGTCCGTGCGCCTTTACGCATAGAGATGCTTTTTTTTGTGTGTGTCTGTCACCGCCTGTGTGTGATATCCAGCAATGCCATGGCCTGAGGGACGCGGGCTTATGCGTGTGTTTGTGCGTGAGTGTGTGCGCTCTGTGGAGGCCTGTCCTAGTTTCCTGCTCCTCACCGGGGAGCTGGAGGATCCAAGGACTGACGCACATCACCTGACAGCCGCCCCGCTGCTCCCGTGCCCCGCACCATGGGTGTGTGAGTGTGTGACAGAGATGGAGCGCCTGTGCGTGTGTGTGTATGTGTGTGTGTGTTGGCGGTCGATCTGTGCGCAGAGGCAGCCTTACTTGGAGGAGGTGGGAGAGAATTTTCCTGCAGTGACCCCTTCAGGCGGATTGGGGAGGAAAAGATGTCACACAAATCTTAAAACAACAAAGCTAAATGTGTTTTCCTGAAGTCCAAACACACACAGTGGCCCAGATTTACCAAGTAGGAGCACAGGAGACTTACATCTTTATTTATTAAAAATGTCTGCAACTCATTAGTGCTTTTATTACAACTATTGCAGATGTCACTTAATAATCTAAAATATTATTGAAAAATTTGTTTTAGTGATTCATTTAACTCACTAGACAAATATTTTTGTCTATTTTTTGTGCAAATATCCTGGTGTATTCTAAATTACACAAAACTAACTTACAAGTAACTTTAAGCAAAATTTAAGAGCTTGCACTGAGTTACTAATTACTTAATGTCAATTTAAAAAAGTACTAGTTTCTCGTACTTTTAAAAACCCAATTATAAATGAAATATTAGTAGAAACTTATGTAGTGAATGTTAAGGGACATTAAGATGATTAATCCAGACGTTAACCTGAACAATAAAATGTTCACTGCTGTGAAATAAGTTTCTTGTTTTAATGAAGAAACCTGAAACAGAGAACAACACCAAGAAGTTTAAATAAAGGTTCCAAATTATAGAAAATATTTTCAAAAATGTGCTTTTATGATTCAATGTGAATTCAAAATACAACCTAATACAAATTGAAAAGTCCAGTGGATTCAGTTCGATTGGGACCAAAATAATCCACTTCCGGTTGTTGGAGCGTCCTCCAGTCTGCTTTGCATTCATATGCATTCAAAACAAAACAAGTTTCGTCAGTGGAGCAGACTTCAGGTGATGCATTCACACCTCACCAAATGACCCGGACTCTCTGGGCAAACGGACTGGAGTTGGATTAAAGTGGACTAAACTGGGCTGGTGTGAATGCAAGACAGTAGATCCTGGGTGGGCTGGCATTACTCCGAATCATGCAAACCCAAGGAAACATTGAGAAAAAAAAACTATTTCACAAAAATTAAATCTTCACAAACAGAACAGAAATCAGCTGATTTCTCGCCCAGACCTGATCACAAAGTAACTTTTTTTTTTCAATAAATTTTGTCTGAAGTGTTTGTGAAGCAGCAAGTTTCAACATGAAGACCAAAATGACTCACAGATGTAAAACATTTCTCAACTTTGAGCTGAAAATTGTAAAAACTGAGAACAAAAAAGAAAAGGTGCAACAACTAAACGAACTTAGTGACAGACTAAAACAGCAGCGTCTTAAGAGGCAAATCTAATCCTCAGAGAGGATCTTAACTTCCATCCACGTCTGTCTGTCTCAGGTGAAAGGTCAGCTTTGATGAGTTGTAAAATATCCATAATCACATATTCCAAACCTCCTCTGACCTCCTGAGTCGCAGCTTCATATTCATAGTTGCTCAGGTCTGCAGACGCAAACCTTTGCAGGCCCGAGTGCTTTATTAGGAAAAAAATGTCATGAATTTCTTATAGGCTGCTAATGCTGTGAGATACGTTAGGATCTGAACACATTAAAGTTTCAAACACGTTAGATTGTTGAAGACAAAGGAAAGCAAATGAAAGGAGAGGCTGTTTTTTGAGGGTTTATTTTTGTAAATCGGTGAAATGTTGAAAGTCCAGCTTCTAGAAATACCGACACAACAAAAAACAATGAAACTGAGAAAGTAAAGTTACAGTTCAGTCAAACCAGAAAAATTAGACGAGCAGCAGAGTAATATCTCAATAATTCAGCAGCTCTGATGTTCTGCGGCGTGCAGCATGAGGGTTCTCTCTCTGACCCTCCCATCGCCAGCCGGGTTTCCTGCTGAATCCAGAGTTTGGAGTTAGTTTCAGTTTGACCGCCTCTCCCCGAGATGCTGACCTCTGAGTTCGGATCGTTCCCGCAGAGACCGACCTCCCACCTGAAGCGGACTCTGTGTGGCCTGAGCGCCAGTGTTTCGTACCGCAGAGGTCGTGACCCCGCTGCCTCGAGTACATTTGTCTTCCTCTGAATGATTACATATTAACACTGGCACACACACACACTCGGACTGATAGCTGCTGAGTGATCCTTTAACCTCCAGTAAGGAGCAGCTTGTTCTCCTGATGGGAGCAGGGGCCTCACTTTGTTCAGCCGGGGTGTCCCTGCATCTTTAAAGTCTTTAAAAGTCTTTAATTCATGTTTCTAAATTAATCTTAAAATGTCTTAAGTTCATGTAAAAAAGCAAGTTATTTTCTTTTCTGTCAATCAAAAGTTGGAGTCGCACTCAGAGCTTCATTGTGTTCTGCGACTTAAAAAAAACCCCAACAACTTTATTGATCCCACTAAACAGCTGCTAACATTGTAAGAAGGTTGGTGGCTTTTCTTATTGAGTTCAAATTTATCGCCAGCAATATACAACTTTTGTACATTTCTGTGGAGACATAGATCTTAAATTTTACTCAAAATAGTTGTAAAATGTCTTAGATTTGTGAATCTAAAGTAGGGCCTTAAATGTCTTAAATTCAATAAATTTTGACTAGATATGTTTATTTAATCTCTGGGTTCTGCAACGCAAGATGGTTGCAGAGTGCTAACTATCTGCTGACATAACTTTCTATCTCGCTAGCTCTTTTGCTTCTGTAATTTAAGGGGTAAGTTTAAATTTATGGTCAGTTGGCTGGATGATGTTTGTTCATTACTGTAGAGATTGGGTCTTAAATTTCATCATAATCTGAGTTGGTGAAACCTGCAGAAACTCCGCCATCATATCAGTCCCTTTTCACTCCTATTTTTCCCTCATTCTGACCTGTTTTTCTCGTGTTTGGAGAGATAAATTGCTGTTTTCTTTGCAGGTAAACGGTTTCAGGAGTGGGTTTGTGTGATTTTGTGCCTCTTCCTCTTCATCATCAACTTCTTCTTCCTCCTCCTGCACTTCTCCACCGTTCACATCTACAAGATCATCTTCGGCATTGGTAAGAGAACAATCAGAGACTTTTGTTTTTGTCCTTTTTTTTTTACATGACATACTTTTTCCTCGACTCCAGTTTTGGGAATAGTGACGGCAGATTTTGCCTCGGGGATTGTCCATTGGGGAGCCGACACCTGGGGATCCGTGGATATTCCTGTTGTTGGGAAGGTGAGCAGAAAAAACACAACTTTACAGCAAAAAAAAATCTTTAATAAATAGAAACCATTTTAAAGAAGCTCCTTTGCATTGAGTTTTAATTGGTCAATAGAAATGCAGCTACTGGCACAAGTGACTCCATTTCCCTATATGTAAATTACAGGTAAATCTCATGACCATTGTTGTAAATTTTATCCTGCAGAAGTCATTTTGCTTACGATTCTCTAAAATCTTGATCTGTTTTATTTGAAAACTTCATTTTTATCGGTTTGCACTTCTTTAATTTAATCAAAATGATAGAAAAATCATTAATTTTAGCTATTAGGCTTTGTTTACATTGTTATCTTATTCAACATGGGAGATTCTGTTTCACTTGAAATAAAGGCCTTCAATTTATTTGCCTGCGACTTACTGGACAATAAACTGTCCCAGAAGTCATTGCGATACATAATAACACTGTTATTTTGAGACAATATTCAACAAATACAATAATAATCATCATTGTTATCATTATACCAAACATCAGAAAAGCTTTATTTCTAAAAATTATTTTACACTGGAGCTGGAAAACCTTTTAAATATCCAAAGTAAATAAAATTATTAAAATATTTTATTATTTTTAATAAAATACAGAGACTTCATAAAATGGTTATGAAGTCTCTGTAGCCAAAATTGCTTTCCAAAAATTAATAATCATTCAGTTTTGACAGGGAAAACAGGCAAAAGAGGCAGATGGTGCAAACTAACTACATCACACTTCAAAATGGCGACTGTTCAACGGTATTAAAGACGATTGTTGTCCAAATGGAAATTATCACTCTGATTTTAATTAATCAATTAATTGATTTATTGCTCATTGGTTGTCATAATTTGTCATTGGTGTGTTGGTTAAAGATGGCTGCACTCACTTCACACATTAAAATACACATTTTACAACAAAGCCAATTAGATTAAAGTTCATCCTCATTTCATCCACTTAAAATCAGTGATCAGGTGCAGCTTGCAGGTCGTTTGTTTTGATTAATACCATCAGATTTTCACGGTTTGTGTGTTGCCTGGATGTCTCTTACGTTTATGTTTTATTCATAGTGAAATAATTTGTTGAAATGTTAAAATCTAATGTGCATTTTTAGAGCTCTTGTACCCCAATTAGAGCGGCGACCGTTTGTGCTGCTCACATATGTTATCAGTGCATGATTAGTAATGAGTCGATATTAGTCAGAATTTGATTCAAATTTATAAAACATGCAAAACGTCATGTGAAGGCGCGTTGTTGGAGGTAAGCAGAGTAAATATTAACAGGGTTTATTTTCTGAGTTCAGATTAAAATTGAGGATTTTATTGTTTGATGTTTCTCGTCTGCAGGATTTCAGATTTTTCTGCTTTCAGTTGAGCTTTTAAACAAATCCTCTGTTTTTAGAGGATCCTGATTCATTATTCATCCCTTCCTCAATTCCTTCTTTGTTTCCTTCCTTTTTTCCTTCTCTCCTTCCTTCCTTGGTGTTCATCCTTCTTTTCTGCCCTTCTCTTCTTTCTATCCTCCTTTGTTCTTTCCTTTTTTGTGTCCTACCTTCCTTCCTCCTCTCATTGTATGTTATCCTTCCTTCATTCTTTCCTCTTTTGCTTTTCTTATTTTTTTCCATCATTTATTCCTTCCTTAGTTGTTCCCTTTTTCCTTTTCATTCTTTCTTGACTTTTTATTTTGTCTTTTCATTTCTTTCTTTTGCTTTCATTTGTTTTCTTTTTTTCTTTTGTTCTTCCTTTCTTTCTTGTTATCTTTCTTCTGTTCTTCATTTCTTTGTTCATTTATTTTTTGTTTCTTTTGTTCAGTCTTTATTTATTTTATTTAGCTCTCCCTTTTAACCTTTCTGTTCTTTCATTCATTTGTTCTTCCTTCTTTTGGTTCTTTCTTTTTCCTTCATTCCTCCTTTTGTGTTCTTTCTCACTTTCATCCTTTCTAACATCCTGTCTTTTTCTTTCTTCCTTTTGTTTGTTCTCTTTTTCTTTTTTTGTTCTTTTTCATCCTTTCATCTCATCTCTCTTGTTTCTTTCTCCACTTTGCACCTTTTTCTCCAACTTCCATTATTTCCTTCTCTCCTTCCCTCCTTGTTTCCCCTCCTTTCCTTCGGTTTGACCATCATGGCCGACGGTTCCCTTCCTTCCCCTGAAAAAGTCAGAAATGAAACTTAAAAAGTGAATAAATATAACGACTTGGAGCAGATGTCTACATGCTACATCTTGGAGTTTTACATGAAATCCTTCAGTTTAATTCAGAGCCCGATGTTTCCATGATTCATTTTTCTTTACAATAAAAGTTTCTTCCCCTCTTGCATCACATTTCCATGTTTGCTGTAATTTCCATGTTTTTTTTCCGAGGGCGTTGCGTGGGCGGAGGATGTTCATGTATGATGTGGCATTTTTGAAGCTGAAGACACAGCGGTGTATTTACATGTCGTGTCCGTCGCCATAGGAGAGCCCTAATAAATGTATTTAGAGGAGAAGAAGAAGAATAGACGTTAGCGGAGAACAGACGGGCTGCGTTAATGTGTGTGTTGATGTGTGTGTGCGGTTACCTCAGTGGTGGCTCTGAGCGGAAGAATAAAGCAGGTTTGTGCTTCTATTTAAGGTTAGTTTGAATATCAAAGCCTGACTGGATGCAGAACACCCGAGGCTAATAGAGCCACTTTCATTCTTTGTTTGTTTCCGTTTGCTGCCGTGTGTAGGTCTGGTGTCTACATGAGCTCGTTCTGACTTCACTTCCAGCTTCCTTTGTTGTCCGTAATTGTTGGGACATCTCTGAGGAAGTTGCTCAGGTTGAGAAACACAAAGAGCGTAGAAGCGTTTATGCTAACTGTCTTCAGGCCGCTGAATCTCGACTTGGCTCCCAGAACGATGAGGCCGGACTCTCAGTCCAAAGGTTCAGTGTCTCTGCCGCATTTTTTGCGCAAAAAAGTCTGACAGTGAAAAAATATCGACACCAGTCAGATGTGGCGGCCTGCTTAACGAAGTGGGTCTTAGGATTGGAATCGTTTATCCAACATATCCCACAGATCTACTGTTTACTAACGCAATTAACAGGAGCTACCACCGTTAGCAGGATCTAATGCCGTTAGCAGGAGCTAATGCTGTTAGCAGGAGCTAATGCCGTTAGCAGGAGCTAACATGAAAGCTAAACAATTGCAAGATTATGAAGTAGATATTTTAAACCAACAACAAAACAAATATTTAAAGCTGCAATAAGTAACTTTTACTTAAAAATTTTGTTTACGTATTTGTTAAAGCTTTCACTACATTCACTAGCCTTAGCATTCTTGAGAGGTTCTGCTAGCTGCAGCACAGCAAAGAGCAAAAGGATGTTGGGTGATTGACACCGCTAAGACCCGCTTGCTAACTGTGATTGGTAGAAACTAGAGCCCTTTTTTAAAGGTTTTGTTGGCTATAGTAGCTTCTATTTGAAAGTAGTTTGACAGGAAACAGAGTAACAAGAGCTCTTTGAATCAAATAGTTTATTCCTGGAATCTGGATTAACCTCTTCCAGCAGCAGAGACGTCATTTTCTCTGACTCTCTCCTCTTCATCTGTTTGGTCCGCCTCATCTCCATCATTTTTCTTCTGTCTCCTTTTTCAATGCACTCCGGTTCATATTGAAGCAACTGAACGTTACTCAATGTGCAAAACTTAATGTTTTAGCTGGATATGGCACCTAGCATATGTCATGTACCCAGAATGCATTGCAACATAAACAACATGGCGACATCCGTGTAACAATATTATATTTAAATTTAGGAAAACTAAACACCCTACAGTATTTTTACTGCACTGTTTATCACCTGAAATGAAGTCTATTGTTACAACTAATCAGTTTAAATACCTCAATCTATTCAAGTTATTTAATGATCTAAAAGTTCTGGTGGAAATCAGACTTGAGTATTTTTAATTTGAAAAGAAAAAAGATAATTTAATCAGAGTAAATTTATATTTTAACAAGGACACTTACTTTTAAACATAGATTTAGATTAGTCAGACTGATGACCTGAAATATTTAAGAATGATGAAAAAAACAAAAATAAGTGACTGCGTAGAGGTGTGAATGATTTTTTCATGTGAAACTTGAGCACATTAAATAAAGAAAGTTTGGGGAAAACAAAAGCATCTGATATGATTTGAAGGAAACTTACAAGGGGAAACTCTCCCATTCATCATCGAAACATAAAACGATTTATTTTAAATTGAGCCCATAAAACGGGTTTTCTTTAGTCTCCACAGAACTGGAATTACAGCCGCGTTTTAAGAAGAGCTGCACAGCCTCCCTGTAGTGCTCAGAACAATTCCTTCGCGAGGCTTCGGGCCACGCTGTATTTTCTTTAGTCTTCATGTCGTTGAGCTTTAATTGACTCAACAAGGATTTCGCAGTCCTCTAATGAGTCTACTTTGAGGACAAAGTCACGCTCATTAGTTCCCAATGATGCTCGATTCACTCTGAAATTTGCCAGATGTGCTTCCAGTTTAGGAGGATGTGTTTGAAGATGGTCCGTCCCAGTCTGCTCGGCTTCTCATTGTTTAAAAGCAGCTTTTCTTCCTGTCTGCCTTTTTTAAAGTCTTTAACAAACATCTGCAGTTCTCTGCGAGGAGGATTCGCTTTCTAATGTGAACACAGACACAAAAACTGGTAACAAAATCGCAGGAACTGAAATTGAGAAAAGATTTTTTTAAACTGAGATTAAAAAAAACAGTAATGGGAAAAACTGAAACTAAATTGTTCTGAAAGTATAGATGTAACATATTTTATTTTCTGTTTTTTCAGCTTTTGAACTGTTGTGAAATACATTTTTTTTCCCCTACACAAGTGATTTACATCAGCTGTGGTCAGATTAAGCTGCTCCGCAAAATGACGACAGCAAAAGTTTGTATAACTTTGCTAGAGGATGCCAAAGTTATGGTAGAAGTAATAATAACTTTATAAAGTGCTGAACAATTAGAAGGTTAAAGAAACCCTAAATAAAAGCAATACATTTAAAAATATATATATATATGTATATATATATTTTAGATAAAAATACATGTATCATATTTAATAGCAGGAAAAAATATGATGAAATGAAATGTAGAAGAAAAAAAGTGGGGCTTTTCATTAAGCTGCTGGTTTTCTCCAAATTTTAAGACTTTCTTCAATTTTTCTTTTCTCTAGATGTTTCCATTTCCCTTAAAATTGCACAAATAAGAACTACTGGTACATAGAGATGCTATAATAAATCTAGGTACACCTCAGAAAGTTCATATCTGCACCCTAGATGCACAGAAGCAGATATCAAATGCCTGGCAGACATTATTTTAAAGGGGTTACACACAATCTGCATCTGTGCACTCCCTGCACAGACGCAGATTTTAAATGCCTATTTGAAATTATTTTTTTGCTATATTCTGGCGCCCGCTCTAGCACAGCACCCCTATGTGTCACATGTAGTGCATGCCCACTTTTTGGGCCCCTTAAAGTTGAAATTTCTCCTAAAAATAAAAGAAAAGAGGAAAAAAATCTGTTGAAATAAATGTTAGAAGGACAAAAAGTGGGGGTGTTGGGGCGTGTCTGCCGGAGCAGTGGGACTGCGGCGGTTGCCGGGGCGATGGGCGATGTGAGCCGGTGATTAACGGGCTTCGTGCCACGCAGGCCGCTAAACGGTGTGGGATTAGAGGACATACAGCGACCGGCGGCCCGCCGTCATAACTGGGAGCGCCGGAGCCGCCCCGCTCGGCACGACCTCCGTGGCTTAGCCGGCCTTTCATGTGCCTGAGGGCCGCGGGGAGCGGAGAGGCAGCGGAGAGGCAGCGGAGAGGGCCGATGCGACGGAGATGGAGACCTAATTGCACAGATATCAACAGATAGCTTCAGAGTTTACAGTGGCACCCATCGATGACGTGCACAGATCGGCAACAGTGATTGTTTCGAGCAGCAAACCCAACAATAATGAGTTTTCATGCTGATGCTTCCGTACCCACACACACACACAGAAACACACACATGCAAACCTTCGCTTCTGTCGCCTTTTCTTCCACCTGGGGAAATAAATTACCTTTATCCAGCGTGTGCTCGTGGGTGTGTTTCCCTTTGTCCGCTTTTAAGCTTCTGAGATTCTGATTCAGCCTTTCATTTGAGACCCCCGCGCTCTCACAGACAGGTGTCTGCCTCTGCACAGAGCAGGTGGGGTTTGAGCTGCCTGCCTGTGTGTGTGTGTGTGTTTTGAAGCTGGTATTTTTCAGTTTTTGTGTGTGTGTCTGAGCAGGTCGACTGCTGTTCTGGGCTTTATTAGGATGCTGGATGTGTGCTTTGGGGTTGAGCTCGATGCTCAGCATTGCCAAGTGTGGTGAGAATTCCTCCGTGTGTTTAATCTGCATTGTTTCGCTTTGCAGTTTGTTTATTATCCAGAAAAGAAAAACAAAAAAAGCTGCAAATGACTTTCAGTGTCGGCGGGGTTTACTTCCTGCTGAAGGTTTGTGTTAGCTAAGATATTTAACTGATCAACCTAAATAAAACGTGTCAAATGATTCATCAAATAAATAAATCCAGTTTTCAGCTGGAAGTCCTTCAAAATGCATGAAAGTAATTTAATCAGAATCAGATTTATTTGCACAGTTTGACTAAGACAAATATGGTTCTACACAAAAGACAGACATCTGTAAAAAAAGTCTTCACAGTTTGTATCCAGGATGTGTGAGGTCTGCAAAGATGTTCAAGTGGTTCTTCAAAATTTCTAGAGAAGTTCATAAATCTCCCTCCATCTTTTTGTTTCTTCAAAAAGATCTTTTAATGAAATTAAAATACATCCCAGTTTAATTAATCTGGCTCACATATTAGAATATAATCAAACGTCTGGTCTTTCAAGTATAACACACAGATTAAGACATTTAAAAACATGAAGCCAAAATTGGTCAAAGTACACCCTTGATGCTGTGTATCTTCTCTAATCTGCTGGCGCTAGTGACGCGTGCCTGCAGGCGCCGCTTCAAATTCAAAACATTTTAATTAAAGAATGCTTTACTGACCAAAAACGGAAATAAAACGTTCCTGTAATGCCCCCTTTAGTGAAGATTATTTACAGAGTTTGTTGTTCATGAAAGTGTAATGCTCAGAACAGAGGACCCAGAATTTCAGTCAGACATAAATAGAAAAGCAAATGTTTTATTGGGAATCAGGGTGTGGGACCAGCGGCCACCAGCAACGGGACAAGAACCTCTGAGAACAGACAAGCAGGTTAGTGGCTTGTAATCTTGGGGTCAAAGCTCAATAAGAAAAGCCACCAGCCTTCTTACAGTGGCACCGTCTGCCTGCCTGAGTGCTGAATGTAACTCCTGAAGGACAGATGGATGACATGAGCCTTAATGCACTGCAGCGCAGCAGCATGCAGGTGAACCAGATGAGTTTGATTGGAGAGGTGAGAGGAAAACAAAGCAGAATCATAACAGAAAGCTCTCTTGTAGTGGTTTGTTTTACAGCAAATATACTTTGTCTTGATTCATGTCCATAAAACCAGACCTTTCCAACGCTGGATGAACAGAAATCTGTCAAACATGTTTGTAGCGCCATAATTTCTTATCCCATTTCTGTAAAATATGGCTAAAACTAAAGATGAGAAAATTGCAGGTGTTTTTATGCATAAAGTTTGTTTTGTCCCGAGATATAAAAGTATAAACAGTTTGGTTTCTGACCTTTTTTATTAGTAAATGTGGGATGTGCAGTAAAAAGTTTTTAGACTGTAAACTTAAGTTATTTGTTAGCTTCAGCAGCTTATTCTGTCTCATAAATATACACAACTTTTTAACATTTTTGTGCCAAATTTGCAACAGTACTGCTTGTAGTGTAACACAGCAGCAGAAATAAAAACATTTTGAATTCACTTTAAACCCAGGAGTTATGTAGGAAACATGCCACTAGGGCATATACATGCGATTGATTGACAGCGCTAAGACCCACCTCCTGCCTCTCATTGGTTGTTTTTGCATTCCTTCAGACGCCAAAAGTAGATCAGGGAGGAATCGATCTTTTCACAGACTCAGTTTGTAAAAATCTTATTTTAAATTGTCAAATCATGGTGATGGTTATAACAAATATGTTAAAAAGTATATATTTTATAAAAGTTACTGCAGATTTAATGTCCAAGCAAAAGAGAAACACAAAAACGGTTTTCTCTTTGCAGGCTTTCATCCGGCCGTTCAGGGAGCACCACATCGACCCGACCGCCATTACTCGGCACGACTTCATCGAAACCAACGGCGACAACTGCATGATCCCCATCCTGCCGCTCGCCCACATGGCCTACAGGTTCCTCACATGCACACCAGGTACGAACCGCTTCAGTTCCCGCCGCTGCTTCCAGCCGCTGCTTCCCGCCGCTGCTTCCCGCCGCTGCTTCCCGTCGCTGCTTCCCATCGCTGCTTCCCGCCGCTGCTTCCAGCTGCACTTCGTGGCATTCGGAAGTGACTCTGAGGACTCCCGAAGGTCAGATATTCTCCAGACTGTCAGGGTCAGAGCGGAGCGGCAAACAGGAAGTGGCTCCGGTGGTAGTTGTGTGCTCTGACCCTGAAGGGAGGACCTGGAGGAGGAGCAGCAGCGGGAGGAACAGGCAGAGCGCTTATTGAGGAGGTGACATTTCCACCTGTCATGTCTGCACTTCAACTGCAGCTCAAAGGTCGCTGATGGGTGGAGGACGGGGGCGGTGACACCACTTAGCCGGGTTAAAGGCGGCGCTACGCACAGTGCTGCAGGTTAAGCTGCTGCAAGCATCTGGAAGAGTTTCTGAGATAGAAATCATGATGGCTGAGCAAAATGTGCAAACAGCAGCAGCAGGCAGGACGCAACCATCAGTTAATAAATGCATTTATTAACTGAACCAGGGTTCAGTCTGAAATTACGGTTCAGACTAAACCATGGTTACGGTTCGGTTTCCTTATGCGTGAGATTATTGACGGGTCGAAAGTTGTAAATTTCCTCGTCCAACATCAAGTTGCTCTCATTCTCAGTTTCATGATTTATTGTGTAACTTTATCTAGAAATAATCAAAGTCCTAAAATATTAATCAGTTGAATGTATTTTAATGTCATATTTGAATGATTAATCAAAAATTTGTGTTAACATTAAAATATAAAAAGTAACAGATAAAACATATGTTTACCAATGTTATCATGCTGTATATATAATTTATTTTTTTTATTTTTTTCTAAATGATTAAATATTTACAATAACTAATTCATTCAAATTGTCTTGAGATTTTTTTATTTCATGCCATTTTATATTTTGATAATTAATAAAATAACTTAATATTAAACTCCAAAATAGTAATGTAAAAATATTAAATTATATTAAAAAGGTAATAAATATTTTTAGCAATGCGGTAGGTATAATTTCTATTTTTCTAAATCAGAACTACAAATATTTACAATAAATAATTCTTTTAAATTCTTAAATTTTCTTCCATTTCATGTCAAATAATCAAAATCGAAAAATATGTTTTAAATTGGAGAAAGAAAGAGGATTTTGTCACCTGGAGCTAAAAACAAACGGCCGATCTTCATCATGAAGGCTGAGCGTGAGGACGATGAAGGATGAGAGGACAGCTGAAGTCCACCAGTAGGGGACGCCCGCCCCGCCCCCACAGGGGGTCACGGGTCATCGAACGGGGACACAGACGCAGCGACATGTCCGCCTGTCATGTCCGCTCCCGAACAGGTCACCGCTTAGCGCTGGAGTCGGCCTGCCGGAGGGCGGGGGCATCTGAGGGTCACGCAGCGGCTAGATGACATCTAAACCTGTCATGTTGACGCCTTGCCGTGTCCCAAAGACGAAGACGCAGGACGGTTCGGAGAGTTGACGTCTCCTGCTGTCATGGCCGCTCCTGAACCGAGGTCAAGAGATTGTAGTTTTTCTATCTGAAGAGACGGAGAGGGAACGTGTTGTGATGAGGACGGATGTAAGTCGTTTCAGCAGAGAGGCATGAAGACGGTTAGCGAGTTCGTTTCTGTTGGATCAAAGGATCACAGAAATCTGATGCAAAATGAACTTAAATCAGCAGAAAAAAAACTCCTGGTTTTATCATCCAGAGCTCAGTTTGAAGATCATCAGCCTGCCTGCTGTTTCAGTTTCATTCAAAACAGAAAAAAGAACAAAAGATGGTGATTGTGTGGAGTATTACTTTCAGTCAATATCTTCCTTAGAGTATTTCTGGGACAAAAAGAACCAGTTGATTGATAATTTGCCTAACGGTTGTAGAAAGCATGATTTAGTTTAAACTTATAGTGTGTGTTTATTATAAGAAATAATTTTTTTACATATTTGTTAAAACTCTCTCTATGTTTTGATAGTATAATATGAGAGCTACTAATTCTACCAACCAAAGACAACCAGGAGGCAGTTCTTAGCGCTGTCAATTAATCTCATATACTCACTACTAAATGTTTCTGATGGCAGAAAAATAACTTACCATTAAAGGAAAACTGTTGATTCACTGTTATCGGTGGCTATGCTAACTGGCCTCATTCATGACAATCTATGTTGTGGTGAACCAGCGTAGCAGAGAGCAAAGGGGAAAGTGTGAGCAGCGCTACACTGAGTGGTGATTGACAGCGCTAAGACCCCTCCTCCAGGCTCTGATTGGTTGTTTCTTAGGTTCTATAACTGGGACAAGGCAGAAAAGCTAAATTTTTTTCCTCCTTCAAATTAGAACTGTTAACATCTGTATTTATCTTGTTAAACCAAAGACCAACAAGAATCAGCTGTAGCATGTTCCTACCGCACCCTAGCCTGAATATGCAGCTCTTATTTTAAAATAAACATTTACTGTGAAGAGTTGTACATTGTTTAAGGAGCTACATCTGCACCCAGTGTGTAACTGAAGTTTATGAGAACAGCACTGTTACAATTTTGGTCTAGTAACTGTTAAAGGTTTTTAATTTTAACCCGTTTTGTCTCTCAAACTGTAAAATAAAAGTGTATTTGAACAGGTTCTCACTCAGAAGGATTTAGAGTTTTTATTTCCTGACTCCTACTTTTGGTTCACAGCTTTGCATCGCTGCTCGCTGTGTGAAATTCAGTTTCGGTGCCACTTTGTCACAGTCGGAAAACCACTTATCTGCTGTTCACTGTCCCTCAGCCGAGCTGCGGTTTACCTGATTCAGAATATGGATAAACACACACTGTCCCAGGATGGGAAACATGTGTAAAGGAGAGGAAATATGGAGGATTGAAGCATTTAAAAGGGGGCGATAATGATGCACTGTCTTCCTTTTGACTTTTTCTCCTGTAGTTTTCCACCAGAAAACCAAAACCAGAGAAGAGATGAGTTTAGAGAGAACAGAAATGTCTTCAGAATCATTAGTAATCCATTAAATAAAAAAAATGTAAATCATATTAAATGTATTTCTTTCACACTTCACCTCCAATAACTTGCAGTCTATGCATTGCTACTCTTTCACCAGAGTCTGGGAGTTTGATTTCTAAACGAATGTAATTTATCTAGTGATTAATTGATTGTTGAATAACAGCAATCAATTATTTTAGTAATAAATTAATTAACTGGCAAAATGTGATTTGCTGGGGAGTTGTGAGCAACAAAAGACTTAATCTGAACTGATGTACAACATGTCTGTATTAAAATCCTTAAATATTAAAAATCTTAAAGTTTTCAGTTGCTGTAAGACAAAATGGTTGAAGTTAACTTTTTTTTACCCAGAATGCCCTGCTTGTTGCTCAAGTTACTCTGACAGGTTGTTGCTCGGTAGCCAAAGAGGGAGTGAGCTTGTTGTTCCCACCAACCGAGCTAGAAGAAGTTGAGCGGCTCATTTCCCAGAATGCTTTGTGATTCTGCATTGAAGTTTAGTGACATTTTAAAAATCCTATCAGACATTATCTACCGATATGGATCATGCGTTTCTAACGACATATACTGTTGATTTGTTGTCCAGCCTAACTCTCTGCTAACTACTCATAACCCTGAGTCAAAGATGTGTAATGTCCCTTTAACGTCTATAAATGCTGCCTGAATTTCTAAAACTGAAACAAAAGGTTGATCTGATTCATGATTAAAACTGTTAGAATTCCCAATAAAATAAAATAAAAACTAAACTTCTGGGTTAATTTCTTTAGTTTTTCATTAACTCTTTTTAAAGTATTTGCATCACAAACTTTCAGTGTGTTTCTGTCTCGGTGAGTCATTAACTCTTTCATTCTTCTTGTTTCAGAGGCCTTGGCGGCGTCCTACCCCGGGCACTGCTACGTGTTCGCCTTGGCGGTTTTTGTGACGCTGACCAATCAGATCCATAAGTGGAGCCACTCCTACTTCGGCCTCCCGCGCTGGGTCACTCTGCTGCAGGACTGGCACCTGGTGCTGCCACGGAAACACCACCGGATCCACCACGTTTCACCGCATGAGACGTACTACTGCATCACTACAGGTACGGCCGTCACTGCACCGCCTAAACCGAGCTGAGGTCTGGACTTTGACTGGGCCATTGCAACACCTTGGCTCCTTGTTTTCAGCCATTTTGTTTTATCCGGGATCCTTCCTCTGCAGATGACCCAGTTTGGACCTCATTTACTGACTCCAGAACATTCTGGAATCAGGGTTTTTGCACAACTTTTAGAGTTGAAAAGTAAGAAACTCAAGAACTTTTCAGGTTTGGAGAATAAATAAACATTTTTAAATATTAAATAATTGTTTTGATCAGTTGTTTTGAGTAGCTTTTTTACACCTTACTGGAGTAATTTTCAGTAACTTTTAATGAATGAAAAGCAAACATGTTTTTACCAAAAATTCACCACAGACACACACCTGCAGTTTTTTATTGGAAGAAACTGATTTAGAAAAATATTTATATTTTCTCTAATTTTGTCATTATGTTATTTATATGAATTATTTTTATTTTGACCTGTTAACTACTAAAATTTTCTCATTACTTTATATTTTGTTTCATCTGATGTCATTTTTAAATATTAAATGAATGATGTTCCAATCAGTACTCTGGTTGCTTTTAGAGAATACTTTTTTACTCATGAGTATTATGTTGAAATAGTGTTACTCTTATCAATAACATTTTTTGGATATTCTACCTCTGCTCACCAGATGTTAAAGGGGAAATATGCAAAATTACATTTTGTTTCCATTTTTGTACGTGTTTCACTTTCCACCGCTTCTAAAAACATCCCAGGCGCTTAAAAAAAAACATCCAACCATTTCTTGGTAATGAGTGTGTGGAAAATGAGCCATTCAAAAACCTCCAGAATGCAACCTCACCAATCAGCTGGTGGTATGCAGTTGTCAAGCAACCCAAACTGACCGCCAGCATGTTAGGTCAGCTGGTTTTACCACTCTATGCGCTGTACAATGGCTGCTGGAAAAGACAGCTGGCTCCACTTCTACTTTTCAAAGTTTTACAATTGCATAATTGCACGTCTGTTTGCGAACATTTTCACAGGTGAGTTTATACGTTGAGTTGGGGGGGCGCGTGGCCAGCAGCACATTATTTGGATTTAAAGAGACATAGCTCCCTAAAACAGCTCATTCTGAAAAGCACATACTAAAATCTCATCATCTAAGAATTATTTTGCGAATTAAAATGTGTTGAATATGTTTTGTATAGGCCACAGATCTATCTCAACCTTTTCAAGGAAGCATAGAAGGTCGCCTTCTATGTGTCCTTAAAAAGCTTATTAACACATAAAGTCGGCCATTTTGAATGGTTATAACAGAAGATGGTGATTCCAGAATAATTTAACTTTCCCTGCAAATTCACATAAAATGGCGATTGTGTGCGTGTCTGTGTGTGTCGGCTTATAAATAACTAAAAGCAAATGTTGTGCTAGTGTGCGTGTAGGTCTTTGGAGACCCGAGGCCTCTGTCACACATCCACACTCTGTATTCTGCCTGCATCTGGGTGAGAGCGGGAGGGATCCTCAGGGGGCGACTCGCCTTGTGCGTCACCCTGCGCCCCAGCGGACGCCAGATGTGAGCCGGAGCTGTCGGTGGTGACACGGCGAGCGCTCCAGTACATCTGCATCTGTTAGTGCGCGCTGGTCGCTCTGACCTCCTCTCCGGTTCCTAACCTGTGCGTGTGGAGGAAGGAGGTGGCGGTCGGGGATGGCAGAGTCGTCCCCTGCGGTCCCCTGCGCGCGCTGCCTGGCTGCCTGGGCCCGGCTCAGGGGCCTCTGGGGGCCCGCCTCGCTGCCTTTGTGTTTGCCACCGGCTGACAATCCCCATGTATATTTAATGCTAACCTGCTGTCTGTTCTAACAAATAGGACTTCACAGGCAGCAGAGGGGAGGGTGGAGGACAGGGGAGGACGACGGGAGAGGAAGCAGGGATTTGGAGGGATAAAAAAAAGGAAAAACATGGAAAAATGCAGGAAATAAAACAAAACCTCTGGATGCTTTACCATATTTAAACCAGTGGAGGGTTTCTGTTTAATCAATAGATGCACCCTCACTCTGTCTGTAATGACTCTAGGTGTTGATGTGTACTCTGCTACTACATGGATGCCATGCATTCATTCATGTGTACATGTAAATGTATTTTGGCCTGCAGCCACACATCCATGAATGTGCTTAACTCAGAAAGATAAATTCAGCTGCTGGACTTCTGTAAGCATCACAGGAAGTCAGAAGGTTGTGTGTGTGTGTGTGTGTGTGTGTGTGTGTGTGTGTGTGTGTGTGTGTGTGTGTGTGTGTGTGTGTGTGTGTGTGTGTGTGTGTGTGTGTGTGTGTGTGTGTGTGTGTGTGTGTGGTGAGGTTAAGGATGTCTCCTGGGATCGCCCTCCATCTTTCTGCTCATGATAATGAGAGTCAGACTGGAGGCTTCAAATTTAAAAATGGAGGCATTAGATGATTTGAAGTTTAGGTGATGGCAGCAGGAAGCAGTGGAGGCCCTGCTAACTAAAATGTTAGTTAAGCTAACTGAATGCTAATCATAAATATAAGTCCAGCTAACACTAAAGCTCAACGCCAACCCGGTATTTAGCGTTAGCGCTCACTTCAACCCTTGAACCTTACTTTAATATTCCATATTTAGCTCTTGTCCTCTGTGTTTCACTCTTTTATGTTTCTTGTTTGAAATAAAGTAAGAGGAAAATCTGAGGACAGGAAATTGAACTGCTGTATTAACAGTCTTCCTCCACTTCAAAATAAGAGCATGAATACAACGGCTAACGACTTGAAGAGTTCTTAAAAGCTGAGAGACGAAACTTTGACACAAATGTCAAGCTTTATTCAACTGAAAGCTTACCAAACAACCAAAGAAATTAGAATTTATCTGGGGAAAAATGTATTTAAGGGAAGCTACATGCACTCAGTTATCAAAAGCGCTGAATGAAAAATTACCTTCACCTTCTGGGAGGTGCAGTTTACAGGAGGGTTAGAGAGAACCAGACTCCATGTTGCCATTCCCAAGTCTTCCCTGTACAGATATGGTGGAGAGAAACTGGCAGTCCTAAAGAGCCAAAGCTATTCTTCTCTTTTACCAAATATGATTTAAATAATTATCCCCTTAACCTCCTCAATATCTTTTCTATCTCCTTCCGTTTTCAGGATGGTGCAATTATCCACTGGACCAGCTGGGCTTTTGGAGACGGATGGAGTGGCTGATCGAACATCTGACGGGCCAGAGACCGCGATCCGATGACATGGCGTGGGCCAAGAAGACCGACTGACGGACAAACCAGAGAAACCAGTAACAGGGGAGAGTCAGGCGTGTAAATGCAAATATGCAGATGTAGAAATGATGGACAGATGTTTAGAAACAGAGACAAACTTTTTTTTTCTGGTATCGCTGTGCTTCTTGCTTTTTTTCTGCTTCAGAACAAACGATGTGTTCAGAGAAAGAAAATCTTTGTGGCTGGTGTAAAAGCTTTCTGGATGTTCTGCATCCATCAGTTTGTCTTTAGGCTCCTGAGGTGTTTGTTTAGTCATGGTTCAGGTTTCTGGAGGTTGGGCTCTCCAGAAGAGACGCTGAGCTGTTTGGGACCAGCAGCTCTTCAGACCAACACATAACGAAGGGAAACATTCGGTTACCATCTTTATTTTATGTTTCTTTCTTGGTTTATTGGGACATTTTTTTGTCAGAACCCACAAAGAAGGTGAAATTATGTTTAAAAATGGCTATATCCTCACAGAGGAGTAAAAATTAGCTAATTTTATGATGTTTCCATCCAATATTTTGTGCTCTATATTAACTTTCAAGATGTAACATATATTTACAGAGTTGAACCCTTGATCTTCATAAACAACAAAAATCCTAATAATACCAGTTTGATGTTATGATTTATATTCAGATGTTTCTTAGATTAGACCAGACTTTAACTTTTAAGATTTTAGATGAATCCATACTTTGCTAGAAACAAACCACATTGGGATCCAGAGGAATAATCGACTATAAATATCCGTCCAACTCACATAAAAATGAGTAAAAATTACAAACATAAGATCCTAATGTTGGTTCATCACTTCATCCGTTAAGCTAATCATCGATCAATCAACCCCACCCAAATTGACCAAACAAATAGACCAACCAAACCAACCCCCACTTAAATCTATTAACAAATCAGCAAACCAACCAACTCCACCCAACCAAACCGATCCAAAATAGACCAACCCAACGTAAAGCTATAATCCAACCAAATCGACAAACCAACCAACCCAACCCAAACAGATGACCCATCCAACCCCAGCCAAAATCAACCAACCCCACCTAAATCTATTAAATAACCAACCTCACCCAAATGAACAAACCACCCACCTTAAACCAAACAGACCAGTTAACCAACTTACCCCAAATCGCCACCCAAACCGATTCCACGACAAACCCTACCGAAATTATCAACCAAATCCTAAATTCCAAGGACACAATTAAACCAAATCAAGTTACCATTGTTGCAGGTGCTTGTAATGACGGACGCAACTCATTAGGTGGCACTCTCGTCAAACAGGGTAACATTTTCACATTTGTCAGTAATGTAATGTCAATATTTTCATATACTGACATATGATAACAGATGTTCCTACATTTAGGTAGATCCATCAAAATGTACAGCATTTTACACTACAGTATGTACATTTTCCAATAAAGAAAAGAAAAAAAACAACTAAAGGATGTACTCTATTAAAAATATTGTGATTTTGGTGAAATGAGTAGAAACGTTTCCCTCTTTTTGAAGCTCCATATTTGGGCCAGTCTTTACTACTGAAACAGCAGTGGTGATGCCAGACACAGGACAGAAATGTCTTATTTTACACTCATAGATATTTCTGTCTACCCAGTGTTGCTGTCAGACTTACAGTTTTCTGTCAGATCAGCTCAGAGTGCAAAGAGCACATTATCCAATTCACCTCCATTATACGTCTTTCTTTATAAATTCAAGTTTTTATTAAGGAACAACATAGAAAATATACATCTCGTTCATTCACATAAGATGATATTGACCTGTACACAATCATCTTTAGTTTGTTATTAATCAATACAGTTAACCCTTGATTGTCCCATCTCTGTGATTTATTGTTTTCCCAGTATTTAGTGTTCCCTTTTTTTCCCCTCCTCCTCACTCCTCTCAAAAGGAGAGGAGGAAGAACAAAACAAGTCAGTATCAACACTAGAATAACTTTTACGACCCTTAAAACCGAGGGTTCAACAGAGTAGCTAAGGAGCTATGGGTGTCACCACAATCTCACTAGCTTCAGATCTGGTATTCATAAAAGTCCACCATGGGGTCCAACACTTTTCAAATTTGTCTTGCTCCAGTTTCAATGCAAATGTCAATTCCTCCATCTTGCAAATGTCTTGAATGATGCTTGTCCAGTCTTCTAATGTGGGTATTTTGTCCGTCATCCATTTCCGAGTAATTGCTTTTTTACTGGCAATTAGTAATATATTGAAAATATATGTTTTACAGAATCCCTTTACACAATCTGGTCGTTTGCCTAAAAGCATAATCTCAAAGTTTAGTGTAAGATTGGCTTATATGTCTTTCTAAACTGGAACATTCAGTCTCTGTAACTTGTTGTATTTACTACATAAAACAGTACAAACTCTTAAAAATGTACTTGTGTGTCTACCAGAAGGTTCTGGAGCTCCTGGTTTAATTATTTTTTGATACGACTTGTAGTTTTTCCACAGCATCTATTGGTTTGAGTTTTACATTTTTTGTCTCTGCTTTCTGGCAGAAATAACCGTAGCAACCAGTGGCTCAGCATTTTCTCTGGTTCTTTTGTATTTATCAATCAGACTTGGTCACGCAGACCGTGGTAATTTCAGTTATTGAATGACTCCTGATTAAAATGAATTAAATAAGGAATTGAGAGGTTCTTAGGAAAAACAGGAAAGGGGTTCTAGTTCAGACTTTCAAAATAAAACTCCAGACAGCTGCAATGTCTCTTCAAACTGTCTGTTAACATTTTATTGATCTTGAAACGGGAGAATCTCAGCTTTTATTTCCAGCTTTTTTTGCGTCAGTTCACAGAATGTTGCAGAACTGGGCAGGTTGTTTTAGTATGAAAATAGACTGAAAATAATGTGGATAAAATGTTAAGATCTTCCATTTACCAAATGAAAGTTATGTTAGTTTCAGTTGTGACCTCTGGGTTTACAGCTCAGTCACATTTATCAGGTCGTCGGAACCAAAAATAAAATGTAAAAGTTGGTCTTTGGTCCCAGTTTGGTTAAAGTGTTGGCTTTATTGGCAGCAGAGGGAGTCCGTCTCTGACTGAACCCGAGCATGAAGTCAATGTTCAGGGGGAAGAAATTCCCAGCTCCGCTCTGACGCTCAATCAGATGAGAAATGGGAAAATAAGTCTTTTGGTTTTTGCTTCTGTTGCCGTCCGCTGCAGAGTTGAGCTGCTTTACTCTTGGCTTTATTTCTGAAAGCTGCTCCAATCACAGGTCAGCAAAAACGACAGCAGCATTTTATGGTTCCACCAAGTAAATGGCGTCTTTAACGCTTCACTCACAGATGACGCATGCACACTGACAGAACGACTCTGTGCGTTCTGGGTTTTTTTTCTCTGGCTTTATAATTTTCTATTTTTTTATGAACAGATCAAGCCTTGTTTGTTTCCATTTTGCAGCTCACTGCTGGTTTGCCTTAATGTTTTTATCTGCTGTTTGATTTGAATAAAGATTTACTAACTCCTGATGTCTCCTCAATGTTCTGATCTGTTTTCAAAAACTTTCATTAAACCAAAGATTTTCTCTGTAGCTTTGAACTGCAGATGAAGAAACGTTTAAACGATTAAATCTTATAATCCAGGAAGTTGCCTGTGCTGCTTCGATGTATCGTTGATTTTTTTTGTCGCTGTTTAAGATTTGAAGTTTTCTTAACATTTTGATTTTTTTTCCCTAAATAAGAGCACCAATTGGTTTTACAGTAAATTGCATTTTTTTTATCTGCTGTTCCAAACGCTGAAGTTCTGAAGTTAAATGCTAAAGCTAAACCAACAGCGCCCTCTAGTGTCTACTGTTTAATAAATTTGTCAGATAAACTACAACTTCAATGTCACAATAAAATATTAGTTTTTAAATGCATTTATTTATTAAACTTATTGTGTTTTTAGTTAACTTTGAGATTCAGATCTGACTTGTAAATAAAAAAGAAGGAAATATTACTTTGAGGAAATTACTTTTCAATTAAGCCTAATCAAAAACCAATCAACACTAAAACTTTCCACTTTTTTATTATTTTCTTAAATCACAGCAAACATCTGATTAACTAAAATCACAAAAACGGCCAGTTTATTTTGTCATGTGAATAATTTATTCCAAATAATCCAGTTTAAACCGTTTCCCAATTGGACTCAGCTGAGTTTAAAGATGACTGACTTGTGAAACTGAGCAGCACGGGGTGACAGTGGAGAGGAACAAACTTTTAACAGAACTAGAGATGTGTAAGCTAGGTAAATATCTCGGTTTAACATAAATATTAAAGGAAATTCAAAGAAACTGTTGAATCCCCAGAAGTCTTTGCATGTAGCAGCAAAGCTCACTTTCATTTAGGCTCCAGAGACTCAATTAGTGGTAATTAAATCAATACAATTTGGACAAATAAATACGAAAGGGTATCAGGATCACACTAATAAAATAAAAAAATACAAGACGAAAGTTAGAATATTACAACCTTACTCTCGAAATATTATGATCTATTCTCATTATTTTGCCTTTATTTTTGTGATATAATGACTTCTAGGACTATTCTTGTAATAGTCTGACTTTATTCTCATACAACTGTATTCTCAATATATATTATGACTTCATTCTCATATTATTGCGATTTTTCTCATAATAATCGAACTTCTTTTCTTTTACTTTAGTAAAACGTCTGGATTTGTGTGAAAAGAAAATACTTCTTGTTGTCGTCTTCGTCGTTTTCACCAGTCGAAACACAGAATCACACAAGAACCTTTTCCCAAATCCATTTTGTTCAATAAAAAAAAACGTCTGAAACTGTGAGAAAAACTGCAGGTGTGTGTCTGTGTTTGTTTTTCATTCAGTGGATCAAAAATCCAGAAATTTTACTCAAGGTAGGACTGATGTTTTCACGCTTTGGACAAAAAGGGCAGCAAAGAAGCTACTTCTGCAGAAGAAAACTTTAATTCATCCAGGACAAACAGTTTCTATAAAAAGATCAAACCAGAAGAAGAGAATGACACAAAACCAGTCAACTGCATTTAAAAAATGAATAAATGTGAAATCCTTTCCATTGTAGGTGAAAATCAGCGACTTTATTTTCAAGATGTACAGAAAAATAAATTTTCTCTTCATTTCCTACTCTGGATCCGCCGTCAGATTAGTTCCCAATTAGAGGTAAATAAAACCTAATTAGGTTGATCACAGCTAGGCACAAAAAGTCCCAGTGAAGTCAGCAAGTGGAAGTAACAAAGAGCTCCAGCTTCTCTCTAATGACATGTGTAAGTGAGGCAGCAGGTGACTTCTGTCAGACGAGGTGTGAGCGTCGTCTCGTTAAACGTCAAGGTGTGTTCACACTCCTGTGTGCGTTCGGTTCTGCACGTACAAGAATGTGTTTCAGTTTCCGCCTGGTGTGGACGCCTGAACCTGCATGGCTCTGTGTCTGTCGCTCTCACCTGCAGGCGCTTCTGCAAGTGAGAAGGCCAATTAAGCCACTGTAGCCTCGTCAAGAGGCTTAACTGGATTCTGTGGCTTTCCTTCATTAAGAGGAATGAAGTATCAATTTTACATTTTCCTGCTTAAATTTTAAGTTTGCAGAGAAATAACTTTCGAGTTACTAAGCACTTACAGGTGAGGTTAGGGAGAAAACTGAAAGTTTAAGGAAAGATTAAGATTTGGAAATTTTTCAGAATTTTACGGAGGCCCTGAAGTGCCTCCATTAAAAAAACATAACATATTCAAAAACACAATAAGCACAAATATAAATTAAGAAATCACAAAGATAAATAAGTGATGTTTCCAGTAGCTATTTTCATGTAACATATGTTCATATTTTCAACAAATGCACAAAAAGTCAGAATGTTTTCTGATTCTAAAGCCAGAAATAGAATCATCCAATCAGTGATATTTTAAATGTACCTCTTCCATTTTGTTAATGTCATTATATTTTATTAATTTGTAGTTTTGCTTATTTAATGTTGTATTTTTTCATATATTGTAGTTAAATAATTTGTAGTTGTGTTCAGTGATTTGTTAATATGGTTTGTACTTCAGGGCCACCGTAGAAGCCAATACTTTTCCTAGAAAGTGTCAGTTTTTGTTACAGTTCTCTAAAAGTTTCTTATGAAAGATCATCTGTAAAGCACGTGTGTCCAACTCAGGGCCCGGGGGCCAAATCCGGCCCGCCATAGCTTTTTTAGGAGTTTATTTTATTATTTATTGTGAACACTTCCTTATCATGATGACAATTTTGATTTATCTTTGTCATGATGAATTTCAGTTATTGAAAAATGAAAAAACAACCACAGACAAGCCTCGTTCGTTACATAGTAACCCAAGCAATGCTCCAGCATGTTTGGTCAGCTGGTAATAGCTGCTGGAAAGAAACCACTTGCTACATTCTTGTTCAGTGGTCATCAAATGTTACTCAGCAATTTGGAGGTTTTTGATCTGACACATTTTCCTGACACCATAAAACATTTGCTTATTGTAAATTAAAACAACAGCTTGGTGTTTTTTTAAGTGCTTGGTTTGTTTTAAGACGCAGTAAAAATTCAAAAGGAAAAAAAGAGAGTGCTGTTCTTGTTTTACTGAAATTGAACAAACAACCTCAAATAATAAGTCGATCCCTTTAAATCTCCTGTCTAACATCGTCATATTTGACTCTTGACCAAACAAAGTAACCTTTAACCTATAGTGAGTCAAAAACAAAACACAGTGACGTCCTTTCCTTTGTGGTGTAACCAGTCATTTCATTCCATGTTCATTCTGCAGGTGGGTTCTGGAGGGACTCTGGATGTTTCCAGTGTCCTGGTTAAT